TACACTGTCTAAACACCCTTAATTATTCTGAGGACTGGACAGGGAGTGCTGGGGTAAGCAGCCTCAGAATGTGCAGTAAATACTAATTCCACGAAGGTGAGGCAGGAATTCAAAGCAGAGCACCACTAATGGGAGTTGTGGAGCTGGAACAGAAAAGAAGGCCTGGCCAAGAAAGGCAGACAGCAAGAGTGTGGTTCTCGGGGCCAAGCAGCACCATCACAGACCATGAGCTGCCAGTTCCGCAGCCAGGGGGCCTACCTGAAGAGCGTCTGAAAAAGAAACAGACTGGGCTACAGCTCCGCGAAAGAACAGAGCACAGGCTTAGCATGCCACGGCCACAGGCTCCATCCCCAGCACCAAAAAGAAAGGTCTGGGCTCAGAGAAGGGATGAAACAGTTTCACTAGTTGGCAGGGTCAGTAGAGAGCCTCGCAACTCCTCCATCCTCTTTCTACTAGAACATTCTAGAAACCAGTGTCTAAACCATGCCCCCATTCCTTGCAGACATCCCTCTGCTCCCCACTGCTCTTCCCACCCCACCAACCTCTGCCTGAGCCCACGTCCACACCAGTTTCTTCCCCCATTGGTCAATGCCTGTCTACAATACCCACCAGGGCCTCTAAAGCAGTTGTGTCACTTTTGCTTAACCCCAGAACCTCTCCAGCCTCCCTCCGAGGCTGAACATGGCCCCACATGCTACCCCACAGCCCAGCCACCAGGCCTTGCTTGCTTGCTTGCTGGGGGAGGTCTCCTCCAGCCCCCCCACCTTTGGCTAATTCACAACCATTTTGATTCTCAATAGGGAATGTCCTGGTTAGTTTTTATTGTGAACTTGACACATTAGAGTCACCTGGGAAGAGGAGCCTTTCTTGAAGCTTCAATCAGATTGGCCTGTGGCCAAGTCTGTGAGAGACATCTGGATTGATGATTACTGTGGGAAAGTCCAGCCCACTGTGGGTGGCACCATCCCTAGGTAGGTGTGCCTGGGCTGTATAAGAAAGCTAGCTGAGCCTGGGGAGCAGCCTGTGGTTTCTGCTCCAAGTTCCTGCCCTGATTTCCCTCAATGATGGACTGTGACCTGGAAGTATGGGCTAAGATAAACCCTTTCCTTCCCTAAGTCGCTTTTGGTCAGTGTTTTATCACAGAAACAGAAAAGCAAACTAGAACAGGCCACTAGCTCCAGCTAGAACTCCAGCCCCTCAAGTCCAGTTGTATGTCCCCAAAGTCTCAGACCCCATACCTACCTGCCCCTCCCCACTGTCTTGACCAAGGGGCCCGCAAGGGTCTGTTCACCTCAATGCCCAGCCCTGCTGGGTATTTTCTGAGAGGTTAAAAAGCTGAGGCACCCAATACACAACCAGCTGCCTGTCAGTGCTTCCTGCTGCCCCCCAGTCCAGCGTCCTTTGGGGCCTGGGTGAGAGGACAGTGGTTCCCCTCCCGGGCCTCACTGGAGGACAGATGTGCATGCCTCTGCCACTTTAAATAGCGGCTGTGACTGTTCTGGCCCCACACCCCTGGCCAGCTAGACTAAGAAGCCTCTCAAGTCACAGGAGACCTTGTGTGGGGATCTTCCCTCCACACCTGTGTGGTCCCTGCCCTTCCCCCACCCCAACACCGACCTCTCGGGTCACACACTCCCAGTGGGGAGCCTTGAGGGTTTTAAGTGTCACAGATTCACAAGCCCTGAGGGTTGTAAGCGGCTTCTTCTATTTTTCAAATGGGCACAGTTAGTCACACTTCCCTTTTCTGACCAGGCCACCATGTGACACGGTGGGTGGGGAAGGCCGGTAGGCTGAATCACGCCCAGGAGTTCATTCTTACACATTTCCTGCACTGGTTCCTCTGCACCCCAGCATGCCCCATTTCCTATCCCCCCTCTCAGAACATGACAGGACCTTTGTCCCAGTGGGTCCCTCCCTGCTTTGCCACTGGACCAGGCTGGGTGGGGCCAATTGTCCATAAGATCCCAAACCTTGAACTTCCCCAGTGTTCCCCTCCCCCTTCCCGGGTCCAGGGCTCAGGAAACATCCTGTCAGGGCCCCCCTGAGTCCACCCTGGACTTTCTAACAAAGGAGGAAACCGAGCTGAGTGCACAGCTGGCAGGCCAGGAAACTCCAAGCAGGCATCGATGCTACTCCCACCGCCCAAAGTCAGGGCCAAGAACAGTCAAGAGGACCAGTTGCTAGGGCAACAGGCCTGCCGAAATACTGACGGCTCTCAACTCTCAATTATTCAAGAGCTCATTACAGTCTTCACTTTAGGCCTTCCTTCTCTCCTTCCCACAGGACCACACAGAAGACACCGAGCCCTTCCAAGGCCCATCCTTCCCTCCCTTCCCGCCTCAGAGACCAATTAGGGCTTGTGGCCTTCTGGTTGTATGGGTGCTAGGCAACCCAACATGGAGGACAGAGGCAGAGGTTCAGCTAACTCACAGAATGGTACCTCGCTCCCTGTGGCTTTAGGGTCCGTGCTGTTTACCACGGATGCTTCCGACTGCTGCAATCCCAGGTGCATTTAAACAGAGCCAGAAGGGCCCCACATTTCCTAGAAACACGTGAGCTCATCAAAGCAAGACAGAGGAGCACTTAACATTGGAAATTGAGGCCAGCTCACTACTTCAGGTGTCCCTTGTGTGCCAAGAGCATAGGTATCACCTAGGAAATGCTGTAACAGGCTAGGAAGATGGCTCAGTCAGTAAGGTGTGTTACAGAGGACCTAATGGTACCTGGTGAGACCCCATCTCAAAACAAAACAAAACAGCCAAAAGCCAGGTGTTTCTGTAATCCCAGCTCTGGGGAATACAGGAGAATCCTAGGGTTTGCTGGCCAAGCAGCCTAGTGGAGTCAGTGAGCTCCATGTTCAGTGACAGACCTTGCCTCAAAAAATAAGGGGGAAAGCGATTTAAAAAGACACTCAAGGAACTAGAGAGATGGTTCAGCGGTTAAGAGCACTGGCTGGTCTTGCAGAAGACCTGGGTTTGAATCCCAGCACCCACATGACAGCTGACAACTGTCCATAACTCCAGTTCCAGGGGATCCAACGCCCTCTTCTGACCTCCACAGGCATTACATGACACGGGTGCACTTGTGTACATGCAGGCAATACATTCATATACATAAAAGGTAAAAGAAAAAGGCACTGAAGATTGACCTCTGGCCTGCACATGCATGCACACACAGATGCAGACACATACTTATGCAGACACACACGAGCTGCAACTGTTCTCAACCTGATGTGTGCTTGCCCTCTATGAAGGTCTTCTTTCTTAGGGTTCAACCCAAACATCACCCCATTCCCAAAGGTCCCAGGTGTCGGATCCCCTGGAACTGGAGTTACAGACAGTTGTTAGCTGTCATGTGGGTGCTTAAGATCATGGGCCGGCCGACTCACAGGTTTACACATAGGACTTCTATTCCCAGGGCCCTAAAGGAGAGCCTCCTCTATTTGCCAAGGTCCTGATTCCCTCCAAAACACAGGCTAACATTCTATAAGCCACCAACAGTGGCACACACCCACAGTTCCAGCTCGGGGGGCGGCAGAGGCAGGGGGATTACACATAAGCCCGGGAGTTTGAGAGGACAGACACAGGTCTGTCACTGTCACAGGGTAAGATGAGGAAGAGTCGTGATTTCTGGGGAGGACAGACTCTAAGGGAGGAAGCAGACCAGACAGGCAGCAGGTGATGACTGGGGACAACCACTCACTGTCCCCAAAGGCGGTGAATGGAAGTCCCTCGGGCGGGACTTCCAAAGCCGGCCTGAGAGGCTGAGCCAATTTCTCTGGAAATAGTCACAGAGCCCTAGAGAAGGTGATGAGGCCTGCTTGCCCTCAGGGAACTGGACAGTCTAGTTTGGTTAAGGGCATTCCTGGGGTAGAGGGCCCGGGGAGGCATGTCTGGGCAAGGGGAAGGGGGTGTGGCAGGCGAGGGGCATCTTTAGGGGTCATATCAAAACAAAGATAGTACCAAGCTTTACACAGAGCTTTCCCTAACTGTCCTGAGACGTTGCCCTGAAAAGGCAGAATGAATGTCCTCCATGATTCAGAGTCTCAAGGCTCCTTCAATTGAGGTGACATGAGAGGGGGACCAAGGGGGACTTCTGGAGTAAACATGTCACCCATGTCCTGGGAGCACACACATTTCAAGGAACACAAGTTAATAGGGACAATAGGGCAGGCCTGGGTATAACTTGTCCCAGGAAGTCAGTCAGGCCCAGTGGCTGGAGGAGGAGACCCTTCTGCACACCCTAACTAGCCGGTCCCTTCCAGATGACCCCTGGGGAGAGTCGGCCCTGGGGCTTCCTTCTACCTGCCCTTTCCCTGGAAGCCCTCACAATTCCTGGTCAACACCAGTCACCATTCCCTTAAGGAATCTCACTACCAGACAAAGAGCCCCAGGGAGTCTCCAGGCCAAAACAATGGGAAATTCAAGAATGCCGCAGCTGGGAACAGCAGTGTGCTGAAGGCACACACCATGGCCCCAGACTGCCATTTCTTGCAATTCTATTCTAAAAGTTTTAGAAAGTAAATGGAGATGGCTTTCAGATTGTTTTAAGGGCACAGGGGCATGAACCTGGGGGTTAACCAGGAGCCTGTGGCCCTGGCTCCAGGCTTCCCAGGCCCCTGGCCTGTGTGTCCCTTTGCTCAATGTGAGCCACATGTTCTGCAGGCATCATGCAATGAGATCAGAAGTGGGTGCTCACTCCCGGGCTGCAGTGCGTGTGTCCAATCACTGTGATCAGAGGGTCCCAGGCAGGGCTGGGCATGTGGATCTCGAAAGGGTGGGCCTGGGAATAGGCGCCTGCTGGGCGCCTGCTGCTGAGCGCACAGGACAGAGGCCGGAGCTCCGGCTCTGGGCCAGCACAGTAAGGACCCGGGGAAGGGACCGGCCTGTCCCGAAGGTCGTGGGCAGCGCAGCCCGGGACGCGGGGCCGGAGGGCGCATGGGCGCCGCGCGGACCTGGATGGCACCGCGGGGAGCCCCGGGGACTCGGGGGCGCACTCACCCTCGCGGGCCTTCTTCTTCCTCGCCAACGTGCCGCCCAACTTGCCCAGGAAAGACTCGTCCTTCTTCATCCTGGGGGCCCGCGGGGTGGGCGATCGCGGTGGCGCGGAGGACATGGGCGAGAGAGCGGAGGACACGGGGGAGTGGCCGGGAGGGCGCGGCCCGCAGCGTCCCCGCCCCCGCCCCGCCCGGCACTCCGACCCCGGGTCGCGACTGGCCTCGGCTGCAGCCCAGGGGAGGCCGCCTTGCGCCCGGGGACCCTGCACGTGGTGCCAGGCACCGCCGCCCCCTTTGTGCCGCCTCAGCGTCCTGAAAGCCGAGACTCAATTAGCCTCATAAATATGTCAAGTCAGCTGTTGAGCCCCTGCCAGGACCCAGGCACTGGACTGGAGGCTTAGGGTGCACTGAGTGCCTCTGGGCGACAGTGGCCTCATGCACAGTGACCCTCAGTCCAGGGCTTTTCCCAGGAGACAGTAGGGGAACGGCAGGAAGAGGAGCGGCCCAGGAAAGGCTCTCGGAAGGATACTGGCCTGACAGGATCGCCATCGCCTTAGTGTCGATGTGACACTCCTGGGAAGAGGGAACCTCAATTGGGGAATTGCTTCCATTGGGTTGGTCTTTTGGACACCTCGGTGGCACATTTTCTTGATTGCTGACTGATCCCCAGGAGACAGTAGGGGAAGGGCAGGAAGAGGAGCGGCCCAGGAAAGGCTCTCGGAAGGATGCTGGCCTGACAGGATCGCCATCGCCTTAGTGTCGATGTGACACTCCTGGGAAGAGGGAACCTCAATTGGGGAATTGCTTCCATTGGGTTGGTCTTTTGGACACCTCGGTGGCACATTTTCTTGATTGCTGACTGATGTGGGAGGGCCCAGCCCACAGTGGGCAGGTGGTAACTGTTTTGTATAAGAAAGTAGGCTGAGCATAGGTCAGAGGAGCAAGCCAGCACACAGCATTCCTCCATGGTCTGTGCTCCAGGTTCCTGCCCTCAGTTCCTGCCTTGGGCTCCCTCAGTGATGAACTGTGACTTGGGAGATGTAAGATAAAATAAACTCTTTCCTCCCCAAGTTGGTTTTGCTCAGTGTTTTCAACACAGCAATAGAAAGTGTAGAACACCAGGTTTTGGGCCCACAACATTGACTGGCTGATTAGTGAACAGAGGGTGATGGAGGAGGCCAGAGGCAGAGAGACTTCCTCGGAGGGAAGTGAAGGGATTTCTACACATGCTGGAGATAGAAGCAACCTCTGAGCTGAGACAGCCCGTGGAGAGAAAGTCAAGTGGCCTTGAGGTGCCAGGACCAGAATGGGTGGTTCCTACAGAGATAGGGGCTATCAAGACCTGAACTGGGATGCGGCCTGTTGGTCAGGGTATATGAAGTGAGGTGGGTTTCCCATCTCCCGTGGTGCAGCTTGAGTGCTAACCACTGCACTCTAAGTGCCATCAATTCAGTGCAGGACATACCTTGGCAGAAGGGGCACCAGGCTGTTCCTCCAGCTGGGATATGCTCTGCCTGGCCTCAGAATTTGTCATGAAGAACAGAGTACCCAGTACATATGGAGTTATGGGCCAAGGGTGGGACAGGAACAGCAGGGACTTGGGCAGGAGGTCAAGGAGTAGCAGTCTGGGGCTTAGGAAAGAATAGGGAGGTAGCATCCTGGGAAGGGCTATTTATCCTGAGACCACAAGGAAATGACCTTTGCCCCTCATGAGAAAACTAACAGGTAGGAGGATGGGGAGAATCCAGTCATCTCCTTTAACCACAGGGGAGCCTCTGAGACCCCCATGATGCCACTCTGAGGAAGCGGCGGCTCACAGGCAGGTGGAAGAGAATTCAGCCATCCCCTTAAGCGTGGAGGAGTGTCCAAGACCCCCATGAAACCCAGAAACAGGTTGAATCTACTTTTTAACATATGTGAAAGAATTTCAGAAGATGCCCAGTGACTGACAGTGGCCCCTGTGTTTCAAAGAATGCCTGACACGGACCAGGCAAGTTGTCAGGCCATGCAGTGTGATAGCTAACAACTTGATTATTTCAACTTGACAGGATCTTGAATCATCTAAGACAAATCTCTGGGCATGACCGTGTCCTAGAGATTTTCTAGATTAGATCAATCGAGGTGGGAAAACTGTCAGTGTGGACAGCACTACCCCGTGGACTGAAGCCCTAGACTGAATAAAAAGGAGAAAGCGAGCTGAGCACCAGCGTTCATCTCCCTCTGCTTCCTGGCTGCAGTTGTGATGGGACCAGCTGCCTCAGGCTCCTGCGGCCAAGCCTTCCCACCACAAGGGACGGCGTCCTGAACTGTGCACCATTTAAACCCTTCCCTGAGTGGCTTCTGTCAGGTGTTTTGTCACAGTAGCAAGGCAAGTACCTGCTGTATGTACCATGGCCGTGGCACAGGGACAGGGGACAAAGCTGAATAGAATTTCAGAGCTGGACTGGTATTGGAACTGGATTGGTAAACCCTGGAGAAGGGGTGTCAGAGTTAGGGACATGAAGAGCCAAAGGGGTCTTGGAGGTATTTCAATCTTGAAACCCAATTTGGATGTTGCTAACAAGCTGGGGAGAACCCTAGAGATTGTCCCTGTGGTTTCTGACATCCCCATAGGATGATGACAGAGTCCGGCAGGACAGAGACTCCGGGACTTGAGAGCTGGAAGCAAACTGCAAAGGACCCAGGCTTCCTGGAATCTCACCTGGGAAAGGAAGGAGCTCCCAGAAACTGCATACTACATACTACCCCCACCCCCACCCCACCCCAACAGCCCCCACAGCCCAGAGGATCACTGACCCGGAAGGAAAAAGGGGGGAAGAACTGGGAAGTATGATCTGAGTGGAAAATGGAAAAGAGCCGCCCTGATCTTTTTAGGGGGTGGGGCTGAGGGTGGGGCACAGGGAGCTGGAAAGTCAAGGTCAGAGGTGGAGGCAGCTGGACAGTTCTGGGCATAGGGAGGGGCTCAGTAACTAACAGGTGACATGAGTGTTTCATCAGTGACCCCACACTCACTCCCAGAGAGCAGCAGAATTTGTAATTTTCCTTTGGTAATTTCCAACCAAACTCCGGTCCTCTGCAAGAGCATTATGTGCTCATAACCAAAGAGCCGTCTCTCCAGTCTGAATTCTACTTTTAAAAAAATACCATACAGTGTGAAGGAAATTTCAGAAGATGCCCAGCTCCTATGTTTCAAGATATTTGTTGTCATGGAACTGGCCTGGGCTATATGTGACTGTGGGACCTGGCATTTTATAGACCTGATTTGCACAAAACCGAAACCCTGTTTTAAAGCAAACTTGCTTCTTGGTGAAGTTCATGGCACCCTGTCCCCTCCCTGGTGAGCACACAGCAGCCTTGAGCTGACAACACCGCACACACCTTATTCTCCACGCATGCTCACCACAAGATGGGATGCTTTCCTATGACGCAGTTTGGAAGGTGGTTTAAGACTCTTGCAATGGTTATGATGGTTTTAGCCTCCTATGTGCCACTAACAGAGACCAAAAATTTCCTTGGGGGCTAAGGAAAGTACTAGCCACACAAGCATGAGGCCCTGAGTTCAATCCCCAGCACCCAGGTAAAAAGCAGGGTGTGGTGGTATGTACATGTAATCCCAACACTGAGGGAGGCAAAGATAGGCAGATTCCTTGGGACTGGATGGCCAGCCAGCCGAGCCTAATTGATGAGCCCAAGGTCCCAGAGAAACCCTGTGTCAAAAACCAAGTGGGCTGCTGCTGAGGAAGGGCACGCAAGGCTGGCCTCTGGCCTCCACATGCACATGCACACGTGACCACACACACCTGTGTTGGCTGTGGATGTATTTGAATTTGCTTCAGAGAGAAAGAAAGGACCTTGTCCTCACTCCCTACCTCAATCCTCTAAGCTTTGCGTCTGTCTGGTGAGGCCCAAGTAAGACTTCAGAACACCACATAGAGCATCAAACAGAGTGTTAATCCGGTACAAAGAGAGGACCTAATGAGATGCAGAAATAAGATGCTGGCTCCCACCTCTGTAGACAGCCTTCTGTCTCTTAGCATGCAACACACATAGCCCGCCTGGCTTTGGAGACGTTTTACATTTGGAGAATAATTAGGAAAATCGGGTTTTTGTGCAGCTGTTGTTACAGAAGCCACTTGTCTGACTTTTAGTCTGTGGCTTCCAGAGATACTGGCTCTCTTTGAGTGACGGACAGAAACACCCTCTTCATGAGCTCACACTGCACAGGCCCCAGGCTCCGCACTGGGTTACATGCTATGCGGTCTTAGCCAACTTCAGTTACCTACATTCCCACCATCTTCCCCATACACAGAGTGGCTGAGCGATACAGACAGATGGCCCAGGGTCCAGCTGCTTTTCTCTATGGGGCCCAAAGAGTGATGTTAGAAAGCAGAGACAGTGTAGCAGCATCCTGAATGCCAGGAGCTTTCACCTGGCACTTACATGGTGCTAATTTGTCCAAATTTCAGCATAAGCAAACCAAACAGACAGCTCTTAGAGATAATGAGGGAGGAGGGTGAACAGCCAGCCAGCATGTACATGCCGTGCAATCCTACGAGGCAGCTGAGAAGAACAGGCACAAGAACGAACCAGTACGGGCGTCCCACGTACACCATCACAGGACTGAGATGTGGCTCAGCTCCAGTGCTCACCTAGAGGGCACAAGGCCCTGGGTTCTTGGTCCTCAGGACCTCCTAGACTGGGTGTGGTGGTGAGTATCTATAATCCCAGCACTCGGGAGGTAAAGCAGGAGGCTCAGAAGTTCAAGTTTATCCTGGGCTACATAGTTCGAGGCAAACTTGAGCTACAAGACATTCTATATCAAAATAAATAACGTTTAAAAAAAAAGTCACGGGGAGCCAGGCGTCATGGTTCACACCTGTGATTCTGGCTCTTGAGAGGCTGAGACAGGAGGATCTAGATTTCAAGGCCAACATAAGCTCTATTAGGGAAACCATACATCAAAATAAATAAATAGAGTCTGGAGAGATGGTTCGGCGGTTAAGAGCACTCATTGCTCTTCCAGAGGACCCAGGTTTGGTTCCCAGTACCACATGGCAGCTAACAGCTGTCTATAACTCCAATTCCAGGGGATTTGACACCCTGTTCTGGTCTCTGTGGACATACACAACACAGATGCACTTACATACATGCAGGCAAAAACACTCATACATGTAAAAAAAAT